ATGTTTCCAAATTGTGGATGATATGTTGGATTACACTTCCAGTGATACCAGTTTCGGTAAGCCAAGTCAAGCCGACTTGAAGTTGGGATTAGCAACTGCGCCAATATTATTTGCATGGAAAGAAAGACCAGAATTAGGTGAATTAATTGCAAGGAAATTCAGCCAAGAAGGCGACGTTGAAATTGCAAGAAATGCTGTTGAAGAATGTGGTGGTTTAGAGAAGACCAGAGAAATGGCTCAAGATTATTGTTATAAGGCATTGAACAATTTGAGGGTTTTACCTGAATCAGATGCAAGAAGTGCATTAGAATTCTTGACAAATTCAGTTTTAACTAGATCTAAATAAACTGACTTATTTAATATATTAGAAATTATTGTTATATAGACATAAAATCGGAAAAAAATAAATGCCTTGTATATATTAAATGCTCTCTTGTATGTATTTTGATATTGTTACTTAATTAGGAAATCTAGCTCTTTCAAGGTTACCCGGTTTTTGTGTGATGTCTATAAATTAAAAATACTACCACTGAATCTTCCCTGGTTCTTTTTCTTTTCCTTATCACCAGAAGATCAATTTCAAAATCGTACATGGTTCTTGCCTTTTACCAGAACCATCCGGGAATTGTCTTCATTACTGGTGTTTTCACTATTTTTTGGAACCATCTTCATTATATTAAGATTTATTCTAATATATTGATATTACCTATTTTCTTTTTAGTTCCCTACTTTGAGACCAAAGTATTGAAATAATAAGTTTATGGAGTAAGAATTGGATACTGTACATCTTGTGTATCATTCGCCTTCTGAAAGATTGCATTTGTAGCATAATGAACCGCATAAAGTATAAACATCCTGTAAAACTAAACTAGTCGATTTGGTACATATAAATAAGAATGCTCATAAATATATGGGCTCTTACATATTGGTATTATCTAATGAATGACTTGAAAGTTATAGACTGATGTATTTAAATACGTAACATCGTGTTTATGTATATATACTCTTGTTGAATGATACTGTCTATAGTCTCTACGTTACACTTCAAGATTTAAATATTATTTATATGAATGAATAAAATATATACAGAGTTTAGACCAATAGTCTATTTCATACACATTAAGGACTTACTGTAAAGCTTCTTAGCATCATTGATTCTTACAAAGCTTCTGTTAGGACCAGGGATTTGTCCCTTAAGAACTAAAATTCCGGCTTCAGCATCAGCATGCAATACTTCATTATTAAAAACAGTACAGTTCTTACCACCCATACGTCCTGCCATCTTCTTTCCTGGCAAAACTCTACCAGGTGTTTGAGTAGCACCCATGGAACCAGCAGATCTGTGCGCTTTGGAAACACCATGCGACGCTTTCAAACCCTTGAACCCGTGTCTTTTCATAACACCAGCAAATCCCTTACCCTTAGTGACAGCTTTTACGTCCACCAATTGGCCTACAGCAAAGTAATCCGCAGTAAGTTCAGTTCCGACCGGAATCAACCCACTTTCATCTCTAATTCTGAACTCTCCAATATGTTGTTTTGGAGACACACCAGCTTCTTGGAACTTTCTCAAGTTATTATCAGTAATATTCTTTAACTTATCACATTGTCCAAGCAAAACAGAAGTGTAACCGTGTGTTTCTACGGTCTTATTCTGGATAACTTCGCAATTGTCGATTTCTATAACGGTAGCCCCAAACTGCTTTCCATCATCTGTATACCAGGTTATCATTCCTCTTTTTACTCCTAATAAACCAGGCCTAGCTAACAATCTCTTTCTCATGTTAGCTATTTCCAAAGAGTGGTTTACTGTTGATTCTTTTGTCCTCATTGATGTTATTGCATGAATCGATGTAAGTTGAGCAGCATTACGGGTAAATGTGAGTGGCTTGGAGGCAAAGGATAACCCTTTACGTGCCAAAGACCATATGCTATTATTCATGTTATTTTGAGTATTGCAAAAGTACTTAATTGGTCACTTTCTATATTATCTATGGTCATATATGCTATTTCATAGTCTCTGAGTGAAAAATATATGAAAGGTCGTGTGTAACCGTCAAAAAATTTTCGGCACTTTTTTGGTGTTTTGTGTAACCATGATTTTAGTATTATAAGTTATATCTATAGAATAGTATATAGACAGTAGCATATATGTAGCATTATATACAAGATGTGAATGGAATATTGCAACAATAGAACTAATATTGACGTGATTGTAAAAATCCCTGTTTTAAAATCACAATAGTAGCAGTATGTGAGCTTGAATAGTATCATTAAGCATCATTACGTATGATTGGAAAGTTTCGGTCAATCATTTAATCTTCTTCTCCTTTAACTTGATGGTTTCACCATCAACGAAAATACCCTTACCCTTGTATGGTTCAGGCTTCTTGTGTTCTCTGATTCTTGCTGCAAATAACTTGACCTGTTGCTTGTCAGTACCTTCGATCAAGAGTCTGGCAGGATTAGGAGACGATACGGTCAATGCTTCTGGAACCTTCAATTTTGGCGTATATGGGTAACCAATCTTGAGGGCAATCACCTTGGATCCATCTTCGGCTGTTTCAATGGTGGCTCTGTAACCGGTACCTACAAATTTGACAATAGCCAAGTGTCCTTCGGTGGTTCCAATAATATTATTTTGTACTAATGCCCTCGATGTACCCCATATGGTTCTCTGGATCTTATCTTCTGGGTTTTCAACACTGACGGTGATGAGGTTATTTTCATTTTTCACGTTGACAAACTCTGGAACTGCGGTCTTCAACACCCCCTTAGGGCCCTTAACAACAATTTGCTTATTCAAAGACACGGTGGTTTTACCCTTGGTGAATGATTTGCAGAATTCGAAAGGTATTTGCTCCGTGTAGCATTGGACGGCTTCAGATATACTGATTGGCTGTTTACCAATGTTTGATAATAACAAAGTACTGCTTGAGAATGGACGACTAGCATTCAAGCAAAGTCTAGGTATTCTGGAGAACATTCTGGTGTCTAGTTTGCTTATGCTATTTCTAAGTCCTAGATATGAACTTGCCAATGAGCCTTAAGATCAACCTTGAACGAATATACTACTTCGTCAAGTGAAAAATTATAGAATCTTACACAAAAAAAATTCTTAGAGATCATCACGTGTCTGGACTCATCTCCATAAATAATTTTTCAGGTAGCTATTAACCGTATATACTAGGGTCAAACACTAAAGGTACAGATAGCAATGGTTAGACAGTTAAAGCATCATGAACAGAAGCTCTTAAAGAAGGTGGATTTCCTTGACTGGAAACAGGATCAAGGCCATAGGGATACACAGGTCATGAGAACATACCATATTCAAAATAGAGAAGACTATCATAAATATAACAAGATTTGTGGTGAAATCCGGAAATTAGCACATAAGTTATCATTGTTACAACCCACAGATCCATACAGAATAAAGCACGAGCAATTGCTATTGGAAAAATTGTATGCCATGGGTGTGCTTGCCACCAAATCTAAGATATCTGACTTAGAAAACAAGGTGACAGTGAGTGCGTTTTGTCGTAGAAGAATACCGGTGGTTATGTGTCGTCTCAAGATGGCAGAAACAGTCAGTGATGCAGTTACATTTGTCGAGCAGGGCCACGTAAGGGTGGGACCTAATGTAATTACGGATCCAGCGTACCTTGTGACCAGAAACTTGGAAGATTACTTGACCTGGGTCGATTCGTCAAAGATTAAAAGAAACGTTCTTAAGTACAAGAATAAGATCGATGATTATGATTTGGCTTGAATACGGTATTTAGCATATAGCACTTTTGAAAGTGGCATTGTATATTAGTCTAATAAAAGCAAAATGAGAAAAAACTATGTAATTATATTTTTCACGCTATATGGCATAACTCAAGACGTGATTGGACGTTAAAGAAATGAACATGAGTATTATGGACTGCTAGAGGTAGCGATGCTAATAAAGAATAATTAAAAATTAGTATTCATCATTCTTCTAACTGCACTCTTTCTATTGCCAGGAATTAATTCACTTTCAGAGTTGTTAATCCCATTATTAGCATTTAAGAATTGCTGGTTTTGAATAGATCCATTAGTTAATGAAGTAGCGTGTGAGCCTGATGGCAATGAGCCTGCAGGTCTGAATTTTCTTTGTTTAGTGATTTCAGTAACTGGATTTAACATAACAACTGAAGATCTTGATAATTGCGTTGCAGATGGAACAGTATGTGCAGTAGCAAAGTTACTATTCATAGTAGACAAAGATTGTTGTGATTGACCAAATGATGATTGAGATTGCATAGAAGGTGATGCAATTGGTGATGTCCAAACCTGATCGTTTTCAATTGGAACAAATGGTTGTTTACCATTTTGCACTGCTTGGTTCTTGGTCCTTGGACGATAATCAGTATATGTTTGAATGGTAGATTTACGAATATCTGAAGGTGGAGGCAATTGTTGTAATGGAGGCAAGTCGCGTGGTGGTGGTTGATATTGCTGAGGTTGGGCTTGGTATATAATATTAGGGTTACTAACAAATTCTTGTTGATTATGATAGAATTGTTGTTCTTCACTTGAGAAAATTGGGGTTTCACTGTAAATTGAGGATGTGGTAGTCAATCTCTTATCGTAATTTGTATCCGTTTTCAAATCTTTGTTGATCCTTAAATAATCTATCTTGTGTGGTAAATCACCCAAAGGATAATCTGGGTCTGGTGTAAATTCATGAGTTCTAGCATCGCCAAATTTACTATTTTGAGATTTTTCACGATCAAAATAGACTTTATACACTGACTTCATCCTTCTCAACTCCTCTTCTTCTTCAGGCGATAAAAACTTCTCTTGATCATCAATTTCATTTTCATCGTCGCTATCGTTCTTCAATAAATTAAATGCAGATATTCTAGGCGACTTACTTCTCACTGGTGGACCTGATGGAATATCAAGGTTGCCGACAGTTGTAGCTGTTGTATTTGCACTGTTTCTTAATTCATCGAGTTCAGGACTAGTGGTTTCTTGGGAAACGTCTGTATCTACGTTATTTCTTTCATTATCATTTATAGACAATTCTTTGGCATTATCTTCGAATGGGGATTGTACTGCTTCCCTGGAAATCACTTCTTCTACACCGTTGGGTTCACCATCGCTAACAATATCAATTTCCTCGTTGGTTTCATCATGGTCATCTTCAACTGTAGTACCATCAACTGTCTCATCAACCGTAGCATCCACAGTATCGTCCCTATTGTCAATATCTCTATCAAGGGATGAGACAGATGCATCAGATTTGGCGGTATATACATCAGCTTCCTCGCTTGTAGAATCAAAAGATTGTCCTGTATTTGTAGGAATAAATTTAGAATGATTTTGGGGATTTATAGGTTCATTTAATGCCAATTCAGATTCATTTTCATAATTAACAGCGAACTTTTCCCCACCTGTACCACTCACAACTGAACTTTCAGAGTTGCTTGCAGATTCTAAGTCTGAAGTATTATCCTCGATTGTATCATCATGAGCATCTTGGAATTCTGCCGTTGATTCATTAGGAATATTGGTATATTCGTTGCTCGTAGGCTTACCCATAGATCTAAGAGGACTTCTGTCACGCTGGTTAGACACTTCAGGTTTTAATTTGGATTTTTGAGGCGAAATAGAATGCTCACCTCCAAGCGATCCATTAACATTGCTAAAACTGGAATTTCTCGTCCTGTTTATGTACGTGGATGCTCTTGGAGTATGGCCGTATGGCTGGTGTTCTCCTAATTGTTTAGCATACTCATTTAAAGACACTTTTGACCCAGTTTGATGTTGATAAGGCAAGACAAAATTATCCAAATATGGATCGGCTTGAACAGTCTGCGTCAACGAAGTTGTAGACTCCTTGGCCATGTGGTTCTGACCAGGATATCTGACAGAGTTCCTGTTGTGAAATGGATCTTCCATATATTGCTTTTGATTAGGGAAGTCTGGCAACACTGTGGCTTCTCCCGTTTCATCAAAATCTGGATCGTGTTCCATAGACTCCTTCTTACCCTTACGGTAATTTCTGAGAAGAAAAAACGACAAAACGCAAAGAATAACGAACACGGGTATACCGATCGCAAGCCCAATTGTCAAACTATCATCATTCACTGGTTTTTGACAAGATCCCAGAGAATCATTTTCACAATCGTCGTCATCTTTAGACGATCTCCTATTAAGCTTCGAGTCAAGCATCAAAATTGATCCCAACACTGAGTTAACTACACTCATCATAAACTTTCTCAATTCCGTTTAATTTCCTCTGGTATTATGTATGTCACTAATTTTCTTTTAGTAACACCTTCTAGTTGACGTTTTGAATATTTAAGCGAATGTGAGGTTGATATGGTTCCGATTCTTGTTGATCACTGAAAATATCAAACAATATCTCTATAAGTTAAAGAAAGTAGTTAGAAAGTCTGTTAATTTCGTATAAGTGTGTATTGAATAGGAATCAATCAATGAATATCAAAGGAATCTACAAAAACTTCGATAAAATTTGTTAATAAACATGGATCAGACAGAGAATAATCTGAGCGAATCAAATTTTTTTTTGAGATCTTTCGCGTTCATATCGACCGCGTTTATTTTTAAAATAGATTTAACTAGTAATGGCATGTCCCTTCAAGAGTGATTGACATATAGGAAGAAATAATGACTTGATTACTAAGTAGTTTGAGTTTTGTATTCTTATACATTCTGGTATTTCTTATTTAAGCTTAAACTTACTGAATTACGATAGGGTTTATAATTAACTTATTAAATTTATTCTATTAATGTTCACCATATGTAAAAATATATGTGTATGTATATAATAGGGAATGTTCTAAAATATCCCCAAAGTTGATGCAATCACCAGTTTTGGACTTGTTCAAATAATTCAACGCGCTTGGTGGTGCTAAGATTGTCAGCTACCGACTTTCTAATGTCATCACACATGGAACCATGGGCACAGGTAACAAAAGCAATAGAACCATTGGCTTCATTGATTTCTTCTTGAATTAAATCGTTAATTGGAGGTCTGCCTTCTCTGAATTGGACGAAAGATAACTTTGCCTTCAAGTCTTGGACGTGGTCGCTGGAGACTTCGTCGCTGGAGTTGTTTTCGTCTTTTTCATCCTTTTCATCGACAGAGTTCGATTCGCTCGAATCACTTGCTTGGCCGATTGGTTGTGCCAATCCAGCAGCAGACTGTGTGACGTAGATGACTGGTTCCACAATTGTGCCTTCAAACTTTAATAATTCTTCATAAAACCAGTCGATAGATTTGTAATGACGAATAACCCAGTAGAATCTGACTCTTTGTCTGTCAACTTGTCTTCTGGCCAAGTCCATAGCTTCGTAGTACATACCAGGAATACCATTAGCACTAACAAGGAATGCAGTAGTGTCGTACTTGTCGATAGGAATTCTTTGACCGTAAGGACCTTCGACTAACACTTTCATGTGTGCCTTATGGTCCGGTTGTTTGGCTAAGTATTGGTACAACCCATGAGTGACACCACCTTTAACTTTTAAATAAAAGGTGATGGTGTTTTCTTCGATGGCTGAATCGACAATAGTGAAAGGGTGTGATTGCCAGAAACAGGTTGGTCTCAAAAAATGAATAAATGCATGACAACCTGGGAATGGTTTCCAGTAAGCAGGTCTAGGAACAGTAACTTTAAGAGTTTCATTGGCCTTCAATTCAACATTAGCACGTTGGACACCAAATGCAGCAAGACGTCCAATCCTAATAACCCTGTCAAATACCCATACGGCTACAGCTGCGTAAAAGAATTGTTGATAGCCCTCTTCTTCTACGTGTCTCCAGCCACCGATAATAAAGAGAGTAGCTAAGATAATATGAGCAAACACAAAAAGTTCATAGTTCTTCTTTCTGAAAACTAACAAAGAATGAAAACACATAATACTTGCTGCAACAAGAGCAACATATCCCCATCTCACATATTCTTGAGCATTACGAGTTTCGTATTTGCCAGGAGCGATACCCTTAGCATTGTAAGTCATACCAACAGCATGAATCATAACTAAAAGAAATTCGACACGGGAAACCCATCTATGGATTGCAATAAATCTTGAGTATGACCATCCTGAAATCCATTGCATAAAATTATTTCTACCGGCAAATAAAATTAAAGTAGGGATCAAAAATAATGACATAATACCTGTTCTGTCAGCAATTTTACGTCCAATTTCAGCTGATTCAGAAGTAGGCCAGTACAAGTTTGGAGAATCATGATTGTATAAGCATACATTGAAAGCAAGAGCCAAGATATACCAAACAAAAATCAAAATTGATTCTAATCTTGTTGGAACGACCCATTGAAAGATTCTCAAGAACGACATATGCTCAGCATGAACTTTTCTTCCTAATGCAGGCAACGATATGTACTTCCTGTAAGTATTAGTGAACGATCCTTTCAAGCCTTTAACAAAGCCTGGGAAAAGGAAGTGGACATAGTTGCAAATACCTGCAATAAACATAACAACAAACCAATATGCTATTAAAGCAACACCAAACCAAGTAGCTAAAGTGTAGTTATAGAAACGACCAACACCAGAACGATATCCAGCATCAATCTTCGATTGCGAAAGTAACACAGGTTTGTAGTATAACTCTGTCAAGTTGAAGTTAGGATCTGCAGTAACATTAGTTAAATGTTTGGTTGCATTGGAATAAGCCAGCTCAAATTCTTTCTCTGTCAATCCATATGGCTCACAAGACTTGATGAAAGCCTCAACACTTCCTTTATGAGCGACTTGTTTTAAGCAGTGAGCCATAGTACCTAATGCCTGTTGGTTATCAACATTACAGAATCCAACAAGATCAGTTTCCTCGAAAAGTAATGCTGCCTTTTCAATTACTGATTCACAGACTAAAACAGCGATATCTGATTTGCGATAAATAAGCTCACCTTCGCTAGCTAATGCGCCTGCAAAGAAACAAGCACCAGCTAATAATGATCTAATAGATACCATTAAATTTTATTGTTCAGACCTTAACGAATCAAATATAATAGACTTAAGAAGGAAATTATCCCATATTTAAATACCATTTATTGTATCCAATGTAATTCGTGCCTTAACTTATGTAATGAGACTAATTCATGTTTACGTGCTTGCTACTGGTTAATAAAGTCCAAAAATTGCTAAAATCGACATATACTCAACCAACTATGCATAAATTTCCGTGCTTTGCAGAACTATTTTTGTCCACAAATGAAATGGCATAATCAGATAACTGTAGTTCATGTATGAATCGACCAATGTAGTGATCAAAAAAATTTTCTCCCGAATTATAGACAGTATCTGCATATGTCATCAGAAATTTTTTGAGGATTTTATCTTTCCAATCAGTATACCCATCACTATGTGGTGTAGCACTACTACTGATAACGATAAATTGAGAGTATTTCTACTGTGGAGATAGTCTTTGTTGAATCTAGCAAATCGGAGCCAAGATAATTAGATTGCTTTGTTCCATCATTTTGGTACTCGATTATAATAACAACATTTCAACGGCCTGGCTTAGAAAATTATGTAATATCAATTGGAGGTTTTTTTTCCGTCAAAATCTGATAAAACAATAAAAAAAAAGGATGCATGGTATCTGTATCTACCCCTTCAGGTAAAGCTGACAGCCAATAAAATGCGAAATTCAAGTCACAGAGTCACAAACAATAGACGTCTGCATTACGTACTCGCATACTTATTATCAGATAAATCAATATTGGCCACCATTTGTTCTAGTTCTTGTTGTTCTTCATTCAAGATTGCGTCTAGTTCGGTTTCGTACATATGTCTTGGCAAGCTCTCATTTATGTACGACTCTAATTCATTCTCCTGGTTAATCAATTCATCGATGTCTAGAACATCGTATAGCTCGTTTGCCTCTCTTTCTAATTCCAACTTATAATCTTCATAGGCTTGTCTATCGACCATTTTTTCACGATTTATGCCTAATTTATCTTGTCTGTGTCTATCTCTAATTTCTCGTAGCCTGTCATGCTTATTTCTCTTATTTATGATGGATGTTCTGCCCTGTTGGTTTTGATGGTGATATTGACTACTTCTGCGGTGTTCGTGATCCAGGACATTTCTGATGGGTGATGACAACGGATAATGTATCCGGTTTGCACGATCTTGTTGATGTTGGTGTAGGTCTTCAAGTATATCCATATCGTAGCTCGCGGACGCATCTGATGGTTTTATTGGCGAACTGAATGGCTTTTTCGAAGACATTGGTTGATATTGTGAAGTGCCCCGATTATTCGGTGAAGAATCCATCTATACTGCTACCGTATTCGAAAGTATATTCTTCAATGACTTCTACTAACTTGAATATGTCAGTATGTACATCATCTTACGGTAACCATTGCTACGCGTATAAAAAATTGGTAGTGCAATGCAAATTATTTGATGATTTATTATACTATTAAACAACTACTTCTATTATCATGCTGTATAATCCGATAGACTCAAGTGACGAGTCATCTTTTGACGAAGAGGATGAAGTTTTCATGAAAGAAACTTCAGATACAGTAGCATCCGTGGTTCCTGAAATATTTCCCTCTTCTATTTCAATTGTGGCCGAAAAGCATTGTCAATTGCATTATGCACCGATTCATAGGTTGCCTAAAGATATCTTGGTTAAATGTTTACTGTTGGTAGAATCTAACTTGAAAGCATTCTATATAAAGCATCAAGGATTGAGATGGAAATTGAATAAACTCAAAGAAATGCAAGAAACTGGATTGATCTATGTTTGGTACACTGATTCGAATGGCAAGTTGATTGGGTTCATTTCATTCATGTTATCGTATAATGATCAATACAAAGTACTTTATCTATACGAAATACATGTGGCCGCAGAGTACCAATCGAAGAAAATTGGGTCTCAATTGATAGATAACTTACATGAATTGTCTCATCATTTGAAGGTCATTGCATCAAAAAAGCATGAATACCGACATTTTGTTAATAGTGGTACTAGCTTAACTGTTTTCAGTGACAACAAAGCCTTGCAGTGGTATTACAAACTAGGGTACGAGCTAACTATGGACTCTCCAAGAGATAAAGTTTTGAGAAATAAGGTTGTTAGGCCTGAATATTATTTACTTATTCGCTTCAATGATAGCCTTCCCAAAAAACATACTTAATACAAGTATACATTTAAATGAATAACGATGTTGATGTAACTAATTTTTGTGTAGAAATACTATTTACTTTTGATCTAACAAGTTCACATAACCACGACGAGGACCCTTCTTTGTCTTACGTCCTGAAGTTGGCCCACCACCGAGCGATAAAAGATCATCCAATCCAGCATTGGCTAAACTTGGACCAGCAGGTGGAGGCGGACCTGATGGTGATGGTCTTGATGGTGATGGTCCTGTAAGGGGTGCACCATTCAGAGAATTGGAGGGTTGTGGACTTGTATCTTGCTTGCTTGGACCAATTGGGGTATTTGAACTGGACGGTTTGCCTAAACTGCTACTCGAACCTTCAACCGGTTTCTTCTTAGCAGCTGGTGGTGGCGGCGGGGCAGACGACTTCAATTGTTCTTCAAGTGGAATGCTTTTATCAATCCACCTTTTCAACTTTTCATCATAAACAAATTTATTCTTTTCCCCTAATTTAGCCCTAATAGGCTTTGGCTTATCATCATTTCTCCTTCCCAGGAAAGGCCACCATCTCTGATTGCTTTGAGCAGCAGCGGCATCTAGCCTTTGTCTATTTCTATCTGCTTCAACTTTTGCCTGGCGTTCTTGTTCTTCCCTCTTTCTCTTTTCTTTCTTCGCCGACTCATCGTCAGAATCTTCTTCTTCTTCATCAACTACAGGTATATAGTCTTTGACAGTATCATCTTCTACCTCGTATTGCTGATATAATGCAGATTGTTGGGACTGAGATAGTCTAGAAGAAAATAATCCACCAGGCCCACCAATAACAGAGTTAGCTCTTGTTGTCAAATCTGGTGATCCAGGAATCGGGAAATCTCCAAAGCTGCTATCCACTCCAAAACCGGAACTTCGTCTAACTTTATCTTCGTTATCTTGATAAGGATGGAACATTGATTCTTTTTCGTTTGTCCTGAAAGAATTATTTAAATTAGTTGAAAAAGGAGCTCTCGCATTAGGAGTATGAAGGCTGCTGGTCTCGAAATCATGATCGTTTATACCTTCACTATCAAAACTTTCATCCACATTAACATTTCTGTTCTGAGATGATGGACCAACCTTTGGTATTCCTGGCTGGGTGGATATAGTACCTTTGACCTCTTTAGTTTCGGCTACCTCTTCGCTTGAAGTCTCTCTTGCATCATTCTCATTCTGCAAGCTTTTGCTTTCATCAACCTCGGACTTTTCAGGGATTTTGTGTCCCCCTAAGTTGAAAATATCATTATAGGAAATGTCCGAGGGTGTGTCAACTAACAGGCTACTGCCTTCTTTTTTTGAAACATATTTATTACTCGATTGTGGCCCATACTTATTGTTACCACCATTTCTGGAAGCAACAGCACCTGGCGCATATGGATTGGCTCTGGATCTGGTCTTTTTTGTAGCAATACTAGATGATTTTGGTACAGAATGGCCCTTTGGTGGAAGAGGCGCCTGTGGCAATGTAGAACTCGTCAGTTCCTTGACAGTATATTGGTCTTCATCCACCGCTTGAGGTGGAACTAATGAATTAGAACTATCTCTAAGTTCCGAAGATTTTTCTGATTCTCTCAATTCAGTAATAGTTTCAGGTACATATTCAGCATCTTTTTTTAAACCCAGGTGTACATCTGTAAAAGCTGCATTGTCATTCGCTTCCTTTGTCATCGACTTAAATTCAGTCGGGTAATCTAAGCTTATATCACTTTGAAGCGATGATGTATGTTTATGCCCTGAAATTGAATTACCATTAACATGATTTTCAGAAAAGGAATTTGAAATAGAAGGTCTCTTGGCGGGAGCTGGAGGATTCATATTTGCGCCCGATATGCCCATGTGTAAAGACTGGTGCGATGCTATGGACAGACTTGAGAATTGTGCTGATGAATTCATATAAGGAAAGCTAGCATTATTATTAGAGTAAACTTTCTGAGGGTTAGGTGAATATTTCGACGGAACCTTGACATTTTCATTCTGACCTTGATTAACTGGTAAATATTGAGATGACGGATTATTAGGAACTACTCTTGATTGCTGTAAAGATTCGTACACAGGGTTGGCAACCTGCTGTTGAGACGAAAACAGTTGATCATTGCGAGTAACGACAGGTTTCGATGTTATCTGAGAGGAAGATGGAGCATACTTTTGTATCGAACTCGTACTATTATTTGAATAAAGTGATGGTGGAGGTCTGCTATAAGACAAACCATTCAGCTTTAATATAGAATTCTCAGACGAAGTTCCTGGAGTGGAATTGGTGGCCATCAAAGTATCTCTTATGTGATCAGGGCGGCCTTGAGGCAGAGTCTGTGGATAGTTATTATTCATAGATGTGATGTCTAGCGATGATGGCGCCCTAGAAACTGATGGACTAAACTTGCTGAAAACACCATTTTCGCCAGACTTAGCCTTAGATTCATCACCTCCAATAAATTTATCAAGCTGGTCCCACATTTTATCAAGATTCAACTTTTTACTACCAAACCAACCCAGATCAGTTGAGCTAGACTGGGAGATTCTCATCAATAAGTTTTGAAATTCTTGAAATGCAACTGGATTAAAAAATGATGATCTTCCAGTAGCCTTGATAATATTACTTATTGCATCACAGTACTTTTGAGACTCTGTAAATAATCCATAATCAGCCAATACCTGTGCATGCTTCAATTTAAGAGGAAGCAAGTGAGGAAACCCGGTTGGAGGAATATTGGATGCGCATAATTGGATTGTATACTCATAAATTTCTGAATAAGCAAATGAATGGCTTCCAAATCCAATAACTGAGAATAATATGCCATTGGCCTGTGAGGGAACATTAGATAAAGGAAGTCCAGCTAAAATAAGACAAATTTGGCTGGGGATTATTTGTCCTGATAACGTTAAAAGCTTACTAAATTCACATAAAAATTCATGTCCCTGTTGGGGTTTGTTAATTACAACCAACGAAACAAGGTCTCTCCAATGATGTATAAACCATTCTCCTTCAGTTTGAACATTAGCAATATCATCAATTGCACCCTTGGAATTCCCAGCAAATAATTTTAACATAACTGGCATCAAATGATGAACCTTACTTTGAGATTTCTGGTATGGGAATGTGGATCTTGCATAATCTGAGGCAATTTTTCCGAACTTTTCGGGACCATCAAAATTAGCTATCATTAAGGCAAGAGCCCAATCTCCTTTTGATAAACAAAATTCCAATGCTTTCTCTGTATTACCTATTTGTAATAAACTCCAAATAATATTAATGCCTGCATTGTCTAATCTATATGCATTGGCTATAGCAGACATTGAATTTATATCCATATGAGTATTATCATTAGTATAATCTACGCTTGGATTAAGAACCGCACAAGCTGCCTTTGAAAAATCATCAGATTTGCAATCACCATTAAACCTTACTAGCGCTAACAAAATTTGAGAAAGGAGTAATTCATCTAGCTTCTCCCCTGTATTATCCTGAGCCAAAAATTCATTATATGATTCTAACCATTTTTCCACGTCCTTCTTCTTGGTTTTCACTTTGCTAAATGGACCTGGAAAGGATGATAGATAATGGCTATCTTTTAAAACTTCCTTTATATCAGTAACATTAATGGATTCTGATGCACGGTTATATGTATTCGTGACTGCCGATGGTGTCATATAAGCTACATTCTTAGAACTGCTCCAATTAAATATTGGAAACTGACGTTGAAGTAAAGCATTAGGGTTTTCTACCTTAGGAGCAATTTGCTCTTTATGGTAAAAATTTGACTTAACATTCGAAACTCCACGTCTTCTTCCATGGATATTGTTGTTCACCGCAGCTGGTTGAGCAGTGGGACTAGCCATACTTGGCATCATAATACCTTGTGGTATACCTTGCTGTGTGTTAGGGATAATAGATGCAGGTGCATAAGGATTGACCTCTTTATTCTTAGCTCCTATTAAAGAACTCGCTCGTGACAGTGTCCTCTTATGGCTACTTGGAGCGTAAGGTCCAGCGTTCGGGACATAAGGGCTTGTAGCACTTTGAGAGCCTTGGGCTTTAGGTATTGCCGTATTAATTGGGTTTGGTGAAGGGTTTGAAGTTTTACGTTGTGGAGCGTACGAATTTGCATTCAGGCCCAAGCTTTGGTTTTGTATGTTAGGGAAAGGCTGCGGTTGAGTCTGAGGTAACATATGATTATTATTATTATTATTATTATTACCTGCAAACTGCGATGTTGGAGGTGGTGCAACCATGCCAGTAGCCACTTGTGAGCCCACTCTACTACTTGCCATTGGGGGAGGTGGTTGCGGTGCATAATTCATTGGAGGTGATTTAACAGCATTCATGGCTGGTTTAGCATATGGATTCACTACAGGTTTTTGTAATTGCGGTTGAGCAGTGTTGACTGTAGGGGAAATGCTTTGACTCATTTGAGCTTTAGGTAAGGCGGCTCTTGCTGGTTTAACTGGTTGTTTCAGAATTGGCATTGGTAAATCCTCGAAAAAAGATTTCTTCTGCGAACCATGAACTGATTCGACAGGTTGAGGAACTGTAGTTTGTGTATCATTTGGCCTTGGTACGCCAACAGCATTTGTCGACGAGTGTAGTTTAAGGGGCATATTAGCAGCTGGTGGAGAGTTATTGCTTGAAGGACTTGGTGCATACTTGTTTGTAGATCTTGCAGCTGGCTTAAATTTGTGAGCTATCAAACTATCTGGAAAATCATAAGCATCATTCTTTTTCTTGTTCATTGTCAGCCCTATATGCTTCTCCTGTGGAGTATTACTGATGGACGAAGGGTGTGTTGTTGAAGGTAAATATGTTTGCTTATTTGACTTTGTTTGTACATCAGAATTTTGGTCAGTGTTTTCATCTTCCAAAAACTCATCATCTAGAAGGTCGTCGTCCAATTCCAAGAAATCGAGAGATTTATTTAAAGATTCAAATTTCTCATTGTCCTTAACTTCAGCTGTATCGTTCTTTGGTGGGAATTCGAATGGGCTACTTTTGTTGTCGGATGCTACCTCTTGGAGAAAATCGTGATCGTCATCTTGAAAAAGTTCGTCTAAGTGATCTTTTGCTTGTGGCTTATTTGTATCCACTATTTCCTTTGTGGCATTCTCAGATTGCGATGCAAGCTTGTTTGGCTCTTCTGGAAGAGACGCATCAGCCTGAGAAGTATTTTGATTTTGAAACGTATGTTGCGCTGATTGAATATTCTCTGATGAACCTAAGAGAACCTCATCTTTGTCCGTTGCTTCTTCCTGTTTCTGTATCTCGTTTAGGAATTCATTTTCGTGACTTCCGCCAAATAAATCATCTACATTGGTAGATTCATTCGAATGCTTATTTC